TCCACTTTTAGAATCCTTTTATCTTGTTTATATATACATATATAATGTGTAGGCATTTTAGTTGAACTTGTGTGTTAATCATGTTTTTAAAAATTTTTCTATAGGTAGTATGATTGTTTGATATTTTAAAAAACCTTTCTGTCTAGGGAGAGACTGCCGCTCCCCAGGCTGGCCAATTCTTAGAGATGGCAAAGGACAGGAAGGGAACACACCTTTCAAATGCAAACTAAGCAGTCCAGAGCCATATCTCCCCTATCTTGCTTGGGCACCCCAGAAGGGAATCATCCTCTGCCTGACGCATCCTAGGGCCAGGGGCCAGACCACCGCAGACCACCCCTGTAGGCCCAAAGCAGCTGAAATCATTCCAACTGGCCAGTCCTAAACCGCTTACCCTGCCTCACCTTGCTGCTGCCCCTCCACTCGCTCCTGCTTCTGCTTCCTGGCCACAGCGGGTGCTCCTTCTGCGGCCCTGCCCAGTGAGCCCTGCCTCTTGTTTCTAGGGGAACTGTGGGCAACATTAAACTTTTCTTTCAATGACATTGATCACTCAGTGACCTTTATGAGTTAAGACCCTGGCACAAAACAACTTGGTAGGAGCAAAGTGACAAAACATGTCTGCTCCATCCTTCCAGAGGCAGAAGGCCGAAAGGATTTTTCAGAAGGTAACTAGCCTGCCTGACTTTTACGTTCACCCCTTCGTAGTCACCTCTCCTGTTGTGCTTACTTGGCAGAACTGTGCCCTGGGTTCAATCTGACTCTCCACCTGCTTTGTGCTTCTTTGTGCGCGCAGTTGAGTCTGGCTGGAGCGGAACACTCAACCGCACAAACTGGCGTTATTTTATTTGATGATCGTGCACAGTACTCTCTCTGTGTCCTTCATCCTGCCTGCACTCCTCCAGTTCCCCACTCCATTCTGTCTGCCCCTGTCTTGCCCTGTACAATTACTTTGCTACTTTTCCTTCCCCCTCAAGCCTCCAGCACCTCCTGTCCCATCCCTACTCTCCGCTGCTGAATCTGCTCACCCAGATGGTTGTTGAACCTGCTCCCTGTGCCACCAAGAAATCGAAGCAATGCGAGAAGCTCCACAGTTTCCTTACTGCATGTCCATTCACCTACCACAGTCTCTGAACTCTGTCTTCCTGCCTATTGCTATAAATAATGAACTGCCCAAGCTTCCCATCTGTATTAGCCATATCTTGCTGCTATTGAGGGGTAATAACAAGTTACCCCTACAACTTAGTGGCTTAAAACAACAAGCATGTATTATCTCACAACTTCTGTGGGTCAGAAATTAAGGAGTGTCTTAGCTGGGTAGTTCTAGCTCAGAGCCTTGCATGAGGCTGTCGTCAAGGTATCAGCTTGGGTGGCAGAAATTTAAGGCATGGCTGGTCCTGGAGGACCTGCTTCCGAGATGGCGCCTTCCAAGGCTGTTGGCTGGAGACCCCAGTTCCTCACCACACGGGTCTCTCCATAGGGTTGCTCAAGAGTCCTCACAGCAGGGCAGCTGGTTTCGCCCAGAGTGAACGATCTGGGGAGAGCCAGAGGGGGGCTGCGATGTCTTTAGGATCCAGTCTCAGAAGTCACACACCGTCGCGCTCTTTGGTAAGAGCAAGTCACAGGGTTCAGCCCATACTCGGGGGAGAGAAAAGTTAGGCTCCCCTTTGAAAGGGAGGCCCGACAAAATATTTGTGGGTGTTTTAAAAGCACTATAAAGTGAATCCCTTCATTTGTACTCAAATGAAGTACTCCCAAAACTCCTTAAAAAACTCCCAAACCCCCACCCCCCGAGACTCAATCTAATTTTTTTTCTTGCCTTTGCACAAAACTCCGAGGGGCTGCCAATTACCTCCTCCTCCTCTCACACCCAGTCTGGCTGGACTTTCTTTCCCCAAAATTCATGAAAACTGTTCTTGTCGAGTCACCAGTGACCAACCCCCCCGTTGCTAAATCCAAAGGTCAGTCCCAAGTTCTCTCTCTAATGCACTTTCTCCACCTGGCTTCGGGGCCACCTTGGTGTCTTGGTTTTCCTCCTCCTTCACAGGCTGCACCTTCTCCACCCCCGCCGTGGGTCCCCCTTCTCTCCCGCTCACTAAAGCTGCAACACGTGAGCTCCAGGGCGCTGGTCCTCTCTGTCCTCTCGCCACACGCATGCCCTCAGTGATCTTATGAAATGTCAGGGCTTCACGTCCCATCCGTAGGCCCTGGCTCACAAATGTTCATCTGCCACACTGCCCTGTCAGCTGAATTTCTGACTCACACGTTTCTCTAGCACATCCCTCCCCAAGTGTCTGACAGACGTCTGACATTCAACATGTCGAACACCGAGATGTCCATCTCATCCCACAAGTCTGCCTCACGCTCAGCCTTCCTCGCCTCAGCTGATGGCAGCTCTGTCCCCTCTCCATGGTCACCCAGGTCCTGCATGCCTTGTCTCAGCTGTCAGTCACCTCACAGAAGCCCATCCTGACCGTGCTGTTTAAAATTGCACCTCTCACTTCTCATCAGCCTTATCCTGCTTTACTTTTCCTCCCCCCACTGTGTATAGCATACGCCATCCTCTAACATACTATGTAATTCATTTATTTATTATACTTACTGTGTTTCTCTCCTCCGCAAAGGTGAGGGTCTTTTCTTTGTTCACAGATGTGTCCCAACTTTGCTTTGTTCATTGGTGCATCTTGCATCTGTGTGCACATAATATATGCTCAAGTAAATGCTTGCTTGCTGAAAAAATCTTGCCAATGTTTCAAAAAATGAAAGTCCTCTCCAGATGTACTGTGTGGCTATGCGTAGTTGGGTATGGGAAGAACAGGTATATCAGAAATGTTTTTACCTGTAAGTAATAGGAAAATAGTGTGACTACTTTGGATTAAAGAAATAAGAGTGATTTTCTACTCAGAATATGATGTCTGAAGGTGTGGGCTTTGTATCTGTTATATCAGAGTTCATGTGTCTGCTTCTGGTGCCTTGTCTCTGAGACTCACAGTGGCTGCAGGAGCCCAAGTCATCAACTCTACATTCTAGGCAAGGAGAAGAGGAGAAGGGAGATGAGGTGTTAGCACCAATCAGAGCAAAGTTTAGGCAAAAGTGGAATTGGAGAAATGGAGATAGATTTGCAAAATATTTTTATTATAGATTGGGAAGGTAGTAAAGAAAAGAATGATTTTTTTTTGAGAAATTGTGTGAATGGTGGGGCCATTTACTAAGTGGTTCAAAATCAGGGAGAAAGAGATGTGGAGAGAAAGAGAAAATCAAGATCTCTAATTTGGACATACAGACTTGGAGACACTTGCCCACTGTCTAAGTGCAGATGTCAAGGAAGCAGTCGGTGCACGAGTCTAGTGCTAACAGGAGGGTCTGGGGCTGGGCAGAGAGCCATGAGCACATGGGTGGTAGTTAAAGTCATCGCGCTGAGTCAGCTCACTGGGGAATGCAGATGGACAGTGTCCAAAACTGAGCCGTGGATGAAGGGGAGAAGGAGAGAAGGGGAAAGAGCTAGAAAAAAAAAAGGCTGAGAAGGAGAAGAAAAGGAAAAATCAGGAAAATGTGTCATTGAATTATGAGAGCAGAACATTTTAAGAAGAAAAGTTCCTGAGCCTTTCAGAGTCCCGGTTTCTCATCTATAAAGTGGGGTAAGAGTAGCTATCCCCTAGGGCGTGTATGAGGCTGAGATGCTAGAATATAGGTGAATGTCCAGCCTGTTGACTCCCTGTGACAGGCACACAACCAACGCCTGTTCCCTCCCATGTCGCGTAGCCTCCTAGGCCGTTGTGCCAGACCCATGGGAGGAGAGAACATTCCAGGAGACGGTCTTACATTCCAGCCAGGTATCTTGACTCAATATGGTAAATAGCCACTTGTCTGGAAAAATATTTATGCAGGATGAATAGAACAAGTATCGATTTTGTTTTATCCTGGTATCTGTGTAACTCAAGGACAAGGGAGACACAGAACATGAATTTTAGAAACAGTTAATGTGCTGCTCATATTTTCAAGTCTGCATTAGGAGTGAATGAATGAACACTTGTTTGACAAATAAAGGAATGGACTACGTGACAGGAAATGACATACTGTTTATTTCAGGGCAGCATTAAGATGTTTGTGAGTGTGTGTGTGTGTTAATTTTCTGAAGGTGATTGACCAGGTTGGTTCCATAATGGGGTTACAAAGCTGATATCGCGAGACTACTTCTTGCTCCCGTACCACACACTGGACTCTTGCCCACCCGACAGCGGGTCTGCGGCAAGTCCATCACCCCTACAGGGGACAGTAGAAACCCAACTCACAGCAGATGTGCTCTGCCCTAGAGAGTGAATTTAGGAGATGAACTCCATGTTCCAGGGTGCAAATCAGCTGCACATCTTTATATACTACTTAGGCCGGGGTTAACTGCCAAACCTCTTCATGTAGTTACGGCTGCAAGTGTGTTTGTGGCTGTGTCTGCCTCCTGTGCAGGCAGGGCAGGTCCCTGTGTTTGAACGGGAAGTGCAAGCCCACCTAGACACCAGGAAAGGTTTGCCCACTTAAAGTCGAGCGAATGGAAATTAGAATGGAAAAATGAAGGGGCTGTAACTTGAAGGGAGAAGAGTATTGGGGTTCGTAGTAATTCAAGTTCTTGGAGTCAACCATCTTTTTCTCCTCTCTTGGTGGCGGTTTGGTCCCCCTCACCCCCTGCCTTTTGCTCTTTGTTTGCAGTTTGCTTTGAAACCACATTGGATAAACCAGTGATGATTGTAAAATGGAGGATTTAGATATAACTGTAGAAAACCAGGCAGACATTTGGGGCACTGGGTACCCGAGAACTGTTCAGCAACACGCAGTGTATCAACCTCCTTTCCCTTCCCCAGTGAGTGACTTATGTACAGACTGCAGGGGACACGGTCGAATGGTTATGGGACCTAATTTAAACTTGTTTGGAAACGGCCAGCAATGTATACTGGGCTGAATAATCCATCCTCAGCTGCCTACAACCATTTTATTTTAATCACTCTCTTCCGCAGCCTCCCTGGAAGGCCATCCATTCACCCAACAGACGGAGCAAGGAGCCTCACAAGGAAGCATTTCATTGCTCACTGAACACAGACTGGAAGCGCTGTTTTGTCGTTGGAAAATCTTCAGTCTGTTGCACCCTTCACGTCTTGGCTGGGGGAGACAGGGCCTGACAGATCGCATTCCCAGAGTTCCACTGGCAGGGCTGATGAAGTGAAGGCGCCGCTCGCAGAGAAACCACATCGCCGGTATGTGCAGCTGGAGAAACGCTGGTCAAAAATGTAATGTTTGTTAAATGGAAAGGGAAATAAGCGTCTATCCTCCAGTGCCTGCTAAAAACTTAATGATTTTCCTGGCAGCCTTTGAAGAAAGGACAAAATCATAGTTCCAGGTTCAATTTCCTATGGCCCCTTGAGAAAAACAACTAAAGGCAGGGAAAGAAAAAAAAATAAAACCTCTGATTGGGAGCAAGATTTTTGCGGCTGGTTCTCCCTTCCAAACCATGTAAGCTGGTGGTACAAGAGCTAGTATTAACTCCCCCCACCCCCTCCTGTGGGAGGCATTATGAGCCCAGGTGAGGTATTGAATGGCGAGGTGCTGGACTTGAACATCTGAGGGGAGCATCAGACAGGTGCTCGGAGACAAGGTTGGCAGAGGCTAGGGTCGACAGAGGTATTGGGCGGCCTAAGTTGGAAATGGATTAGAAGAAAGTAGTTGGAGTGGGGCAGGTGGAGATTGTACTGAGATGATAAAGCTGATTCTTCGTCTGCACTAGCCATACACTAGGCGTTGCACTGAGTACATTACACAGAGGACTTTTGTTTCATAGAAGTTGGCTGTGGTTATTGCTCTTGGTTTGCAGATGAAGCCACTGCGGCCCAGTAAGTTATGAGTCTTTTGCAAGGTTGTCTCCGCCGGGAAGGAGAGAGCCAGGATTCAAATCCAAAAGATGAGTCCGGAATTTAGTATCTGGCGCTAGATCTGGCCTCTGGGACACAGTGGCTGAGTTCCTAAATTGGGGCGTGATGCTAACAGCCTCCTCTTCTCTTTTCTCCTCTCCTTCCTTCTGCTGCACTTCTGCCAGCCTGGCCATCGCCCAGGCTCAAGCGCTAACGATGAGCAAAGCAAGAGGCAGCACAGGCAGCCTGGAGAGACAGGCCGGGCGGGACCAGGACAGGAAGAGCAGGCTGCTGGGACCGTGTCAGCTGATGGGAAGGAGGAAAACTCCTCACGTCCCCATTGGCTCCTCCGAAATCTGTTCACTTGAACTTTAAGAGAAAATTAAACTTTTTCTCTACAGTTGGCAAATTGTTCTCTCAAGAAGCCAAAAATAATGAAACTGGGACAGAGTAATAGCCAAATAGTGGATCAAAATCCATATTACAAAATAGTATTTCTAAGAGTTGCATTGAAACATATTTTGGGCCATAGGAGGGAAAACGTTCTGGTTAACATAGTGTTGTAGGTTGCAAATATCTTTAAATGTTTGAAGGGCTAGCAGTGAAGGGGGGAGCTGACTGCTTCTGCGTGGCTTTCAGTGAGGCGTTAAGTCCTATTATTCTAACAGAAAGGCTGTCCGTCTGTGAGCGGCCACCCCCATGTAGCAGGGCAGGGACCCTTCGTCAGAGAGCAGAAGCCAGATCACTGGGCAAACTTGATTGCATGTGACAACCCCTAGGACAGTTTTAAAATGCTGATCCCAGCAATTTTAATGTAATTGATTTGGGGTGACCCCAGCATTGAGGTCCTTAACAACTCCACCAATGATTCTAATAGGCAGCAAAGTTTGAGAACCACTGAGCTAGGTATCTGTCTCATCAGAGATGTCGAGGAGCAGACTCCTGCTTTGTGTGGGCGGTCGGTCCAGGTTATCTCCAACACCCCTTTCCATGCTAAGCCTGTAATTTGCTAAGGAAAGCCCTTCACTGTGTGCTTGTCGTTTATGATGGCCAGCAATAACTTTATGATCAATTATCAGTGAAAGAGGGCTATGATTTTTAGTGTGGAGGAGAGTAAGAAGCTGTAAGTAACAAAAGGCCACATCCATTCTCTTGGATTTCTGCCTCTTCAAAATTACATTCAAGGAAAAGAAGCGAAGAAAGTGCACGATAAATTTAGAAGGCTATTAATCCCAAACCACCCTTGTTCCTGGCCCTGTCTCCTGGCACTCTGTGTGAAGAGTTTCTGGAGACTAATAATAACGGTGCACGTGAACATACGTGCATCCTGAACATCAACCTCATTGTTTCACTGGAGCAGTGAGTTGGGCTTTAGAAGAATTTCCGGAGGGGAGAGAAGAGCACGGGGGTCTGACTGCCAGGTGAAAAGCAGAGGAAGGGCCGTTCTGTCCCTGTCTCCACGTGATGTTCCTGCCACCTTGCATCATTTTTCTCACTCGGAGATCTAAATATTGAATTTGGCAGGAGCTGTCAGAATCCTTTCAAACCACAGTCGGAACTTCACACAGGGCCTGCCCAAATCCCGCAGAGGGACTGAACAGTCATGAGTGCCAGTGCACTATTTAAAGACGGGAAAGTACAGGACTGAAGTCCACAGAGCCACTTCCAGTAGATGTGAAGAGCTTCCCGGAGCACTGCCTGCTGGAAACAAGCTCTCGGGCTGGTTTTCGCCTGCCACGGTCCTGCAGCGCAGTCGGGACACAGCGTCCCCCTGGCGTTTGGGTAACCTTAGAAGTTAGGCAAACGCAGAAGGGCTGGCTCCCTGCAGAGGGGGCACTGTGAAGCCCAGAAAGACTCCAGCGGGGCCCTGCGGCAGTAACACAAAAGGAAGCTAAACTGGGTGTTTCTGATCTAGATGTGAGTCCTCGGAATTGTAACGTGGTACAGCACTGCGGCAGGCAGCAGAGTCGGAGGGGAGGTATTCAGCATTTGTCCACAAAACGCCCCCCCAAAAGCTTGATGTCTGAGATACTATCTGTTCTTTAAAAAATAAAAATAAAAGAAGTGTGGCAAACTGTCTCATTCCTTTACAGTTAAGAGTGTAGTATGTTAGTTACATTGATGAAACATCCATTGCCAGTGATTCACATTGAACCTGGTGGAGCAGCTTTGGCTGGAGCAGTGGAAGTGACTGGCAGACAGACAACTTCCTCATGTGTGGGAGTAGAATGATCTAGAAACCTTTGAGCTCTGATTGGAGAAGTATGCTGGGAAAAAGACAACAGATCTTGCCTCTGAAATGTCCACTCATGTGTGAGAGTAAATCTCTACTGTCCCTAGAGTGTGGACACCAGCTCCTCGGGCAGGTTGAGGGGATGATGGTCAGCAAGAACAGAGGGCAGGTGCTGACGGACCTCCCAGCAGCCTCGGGTGGCAGAGAACGGTGGGGGAAGCCGAGGGAGGCTGGGAAGAGAAGAGAGCAAGAGCAAGCCGTAGTCCCTCTCATGAAAGAGGAGGAATCCTTCCTAATCCTTCCACAGGCAAACAGGAGAAAATAGGTATTGCGGTGGGAGATTTGGGCATGTGAAACCAAGAATAGCCTCAAAGAGAAACCAAATTTTATTGAGTGTGTTTTCCTAAACAACAATTTGGTACCTGATGCTTAATCCTCACCTTCTTGAACTTTCCTGCCATCCTGAGCCAGGGAACAGCTTTGTGGGCCACCCATCACTCACCCTTGCCTGGAGGCCCTGGACTCCATCCACCTTCCTCTCTGCCCTGCCTGAGCACCCCACTCTGGCAGCAATACTGGGATCTTATGACCCTGAACTTCTCTATTACTGAGACCTTGAACTTTGGTCAGCCACTGCCCAGCCATATCCTCTTATGCAGCAAACTCCTTCTCTCTCTTTGCTTTGACCGTGCTTACCTGTTCAGACCTCACAGGGCCTCAGTGTCCGTAGCCTGACGCCACGCATTGCCAGGCCCATCTGTTACCTGGCAGCTCTGCTTCCTTTCCTGCGTATCTTGAATCATATCCCAATGGTTCAGCTAGTCTACACCCTTCAGCGACCCTCCTTCCTCACTACCCTCCACCACGTCTTGTGCTCATTCCCTCCCATCCCGCATCCATGCTGCCAAACACTGTGAGGGAAGAGACCACACAGACGTGTAATTCACAGTCACCACAGTTCATGGTGCTCAGCTCCTGCCTGGCCCTCGGTGCTGCTTGGCAAGTGTGCCTCGCCCTGGTCACCTCCCAGCAGCCATCGCCTTCCTGCAATGCTGGCGTCAAGCTCCCTGTCCCCTCGTAACCCTACCCCTCTTGTACCCCACAGAAAACCTCACTCCCGCCCCACAGAGGACAAGAGTCAAAATAATGTTAATTCCCTGTCAGGTCAGCGTTACCGCCACATTCACCTGCATCTGCATCCACCCTTACCAACTTCCCCCCTACACCCACCCCTGCTGTCTGGAAGGGAGAAGGAGCCCCCTGGATGTTTGAACTATTGCCTCCTACCCTCTCGGTGACCCCAGGCCTTGTCCCTCCCTGTCCCCTGGTTTCTTGCCCTCAGTTTCACACTTGCACGAGACTCCGCCCTCTTTCAAAGCCATCACCGCCTTTTCTTCGGTTCTGCAGCTCCTCTCATTATCCGGCCTCTCTTCCTTTCTAGTGTTTTAAAAAATATATTGGTATATTCCTTGTTTCCAGGACTTCACGTCCCATTTGGGACATCTGTCACTTCCCCTAAAAGTGTTCTTGCTAAAATCACCAATGGCCAGCTTCTAGATTCGAGGGATAGGCTGCTGTTTTTATTTCATGGAACTCATGTCACTTCATGAAGCCCCTTTCTCCCTTGCCTTTGGTAACTCACCCCCTCAGTTCCCCTTCCATCTTGTAGATGCTGTGGCTTACTAGGATCCTCTCCTCCTTCCCATTTGCCCTCACTTCTGCTAACACCTGCTTTTCATCTCCTCTGCCCAAGACCACCTCCATGGTCTTTTCCCCAAACTGGTCATGTCATCCCTTACCTGAAATTCTCTGGCGCCTCCCAGCACCCACAGGGGGAAGCCCCTTCTAGCTGCTGTGCATGACCCCCAGAGACGCTTCCCACCTCACATCTGCTCAAGGGCATCCTTCTCTGCAGCCATTCTAGAAAACTTGCAAGGTCCCTGTTAAATAAGAACAAAATATGATAAATATTAATTGAAGTCACTCATTAGGAGGATTGTCTAACAGGAATGACCTAGGGAGGGGTTGATGCATGTCTCTTTATCTTAATATTATTTAATATTTAAATAATTTTTTTTCTCCAGAAAGGCTTTTACATGCCTCTTTATTTTTTTGCAAACCTGTTCCCTCTGCTTGGAGTGGCCTTCCCCCTTGGGGAATTCCTCAACCTTCAAAATCCAGCCTAAATTCACATTACATCCTCTCCAGCCACCCTGTGCTCACCTGTCCCCTCCCCCACCACTTGTGGTCCAGCAGAATCAAGGGCTTGCTCTCTTTTATCCACAGCATCTTGGAATACTTTCCCTCTAGCATCTGTCCACCTGCATTGCCATGTTTTGTTTCTGTCCGCTTCACTCCCTGGTCTGAGAGCTCTCTCGCTCTGAGGACAGAAATAATGTCTTCATCATCTTCAATCCCTAGAACCAGCCCATGCCTACCAGGCAACGGACTCAATAAATGGTACATTTTATGTGGCTATTTTATAGGTTATAAGTGGCCCAAAGCCAGCAATTCCATGTTTCCAATTCCAATTTTCAACCTATTACCGTCAATGACAACACTGAGGGCCTTTCCCCAAGCAGCCGCAAGCACCTGCAAGCGCTGCGTCATGCATGGGTCCTGGGGAGAGGCCTGCGGACATCACGATCATCATCTATGGATGGTTCAGTAGGCTGGTGGCTGAAGTAGAGCTAGAACCTGGTCTTCTTACAGCCTCCCCCACGCCCCATCCCAGGGTCCATGGTGCTAGATTCCTGGAATTCTGGAGTGAGAAAGAAATTCAAAAGGTTACCTGCCTGGCAGCTCCAAGCAGCAAGCCCATAAATCACCCTTAAGTGGGTTTCTTTTACATCATGTCCAGAGTTGAAAATGATACGGTCTCTCTCAATAATGATTTAATATTTCCCTCTCATACCGTCACCAGGCAGTCCATTTCTAACCCATCTCCCTCTTGCTGCAATATGTCAATCTTGCTGCAATTTGGACTTTATGGAGATAAAGCAGCCGCAATGTACCCGACTTATAATAACCCTCCTACTACTTATAGCCATTTGTCCTCCCTCCGTTTTATTACTCTCCTGGAAAAAAAAAACTACCCTGTCTTTTCTTTTCAACTCTATTCATAGTTCCTTCACATCATTTTAATCAGAAGATCTCAGGGTCTTCCCTAACAACATTTTTCACTCTCATTAGACCATGTTAAAAGAGGCATGCCCACTGACATCCTTCTGCGCTAATGATCCGTGGGATCCAAGTTGGGAGTCAGGGCCCCGTGATGTTTGCCCATTTCCTTTTAAACATTAGGATAAAAAGCCAGATGCGCTCTCCTTTTAAAAGCGTCGTTTGTGTCACAGGCAGTGTACAGATGCCTCTTCTGCTTTGGCAAGGTCGTGCTGCTGTTTACATATTCATTACTGCGATTGTCTCTGCAACCGCAGGCTCAGGGTGCTCCCGTATACTTAGAGCACAGTTATGCTTTCATAGTCTGGAATAATAATGGGGCTTTTATTTCCTGTCTTGCATGATAATTGAGTTTGGGTTTATTTATCGTGTGTGCTGTCTTGATTGGGTTCTGACTATCATCTAATTTTTTCTCTGATTTTTTTCTCATCACTTTAAACTCCGTCCTCCCGAAGTCCTAGCATCTACCCCATCCCATCACCCCCTCCAACCCTTCTCCCCTCAGCCTTGGTGTTACCTGTAATGTAATACAGATTGCATAAGGGAGCTTCCAAACATACCGCCTTTGATGTTAATTTTGTTTTGATTTGAAATAGTAAATAGCATGGGTGGGAAGGTTCCTGATAAGTTGCAGCAGGCCTTGACTGCATACCTTGCTGCATGTGTAGCCCTGTGCTAGGCACTGGAACAGCTTTCAGAGCTCCCAGTCGCTGTGAAGACGTGGTTCGTCCACACGTCTTAGTTAAATTGTTAACTAAGAACAGGAGGTATTACGGGATCAAAAAGATAAAGAAAAATAAAACAAATAAGTGCTCTGCAAGTCGTGAGAAGAAGGATGTCAACATTGAACTTGATCTAGGATACGGAAGGTTAGCGGGATTTAGGTGTTTTTAAGGGATAATGAGGTGGTGAGACAGATCCCAGAAGCAACAGCACATGCAGATGCTACGGGCATTAATGGTCCCTTGCTATGGGAGCCACACAGCTGGCCCATAAATCAGTTACAGCCCACGTGACTCTCTACCACCATTAGCTCGACGGGTCTGGCTTCTGCCCTGGTTTACGGCTGCAGTGACGGCAGGGGCCGTGATGAATCTGCCCTTGGACACCCAGAGATCTTAGGAGTGCCTGGTCTATAGTACGTGCTCAGTAAGTATCGTTTGAGCTTTTTTCTTTAATTGGTTTGAGTGAAAAAGCAGGAGAAAATGGGGAATGGTGGTGGAGTTCCGGCTACTTTGGGAGGCGGCCACTGGAGTCTGGGACGGGAGTGACAACACGGTGCGGTACCTGCAGATTTACCTGGCAGCAGTGTTCAGAAAGACAGGAGCGGGGAGGGGTGAAATAAGAGGCTGTTTTCTCACTCTGCCTCTCACTGTAGCTCTCCCCTTCCCCTCTATTCAAGCTTCTAGAAAGATCTTTGATATCTCATTATCTTCAAGCCCCATTTACTCCCCAGCTCAATCTATCCTACCTTCTGTTTGAACGCCATAGTATTAACTACTCAGTTTCTGCGGTACTTAATGTCATTAACATTTTATTTTTGAAAACAGCTTTATTTAAAAAAAAATAATAGGTTCTTTTAAAATCAGTTTCAGGTTCAGAGCAACACAGAGCGGAAGGGACAGAGAGACCTCATGTACTCCC